CCCCCCCCCCCCCACCACCAACCACTCGATCAATATCACACGCGAATTCACGCATGCAGACACATTTGAATTTGAAAATATATCCCTAATATGTCTGTCAGCCAGATCTGAATAGTTTTTGTTATTGTTAAGAAAGGGGTGCTGTTATGCATTCATTGGTGTGCCACAGATTTGGGTACTTGGCGGTAAAGAAATAAGTCTAGAATTATATCAGTCTATAAACAGTTTTTGTCTCATCTGTTGACTTGTGTTTTATTTCATGTAACATTATAGGGAACCCTAAAGAAAGAAAGAATAAAGAAAATGTTACAGAGTGCTCCATCCCAAAGGTATTAACTATTTTGTGTGTGCGTTTTCTCTTGGATATGTTACTCAGACTTGTAAAATTTGCACTTAAAATACAAACATTATAATTACATTTACTGTACCTCAAAAAAACCTTTTTTTTTAAAGACATCACTTGGAATATGTGGTATGAACAAAGCTTCTTTAAAGTTGGATTCTTAAAAAGATTTTCTTATTTCTCTTAATTATAATTTTACTTACTATATTTTACCATAACATTATTTTGGATTTATCAAATATTAATGACAATGAATAAAACCCAAATAACACACATAGAGGTAAATAGAGAGGTAAATGGATTAAGAAAACTTTTCTGCATGTATTTATCCATCTGTTTATTGCCAGGTTGTAAATGAGGTGTGGCACAGAGAGACTCTGGCTGAAGGTCAAGGTCATGAAGGAAGCCTCTCTCCGCCAGGTGGTGTCACAAGAACAAGCCCCTCTGCTAGGCTGCCGTCCAAAGAGGGCACTCCACATGATGCTTTGCCAGTGATAAGTCACGTGAGACCTGCTGAAGTCATAGGTGCTGGTTGTGACATGTCACCAAGTATTAATTATATCAGACCTGCTTCTGTGGAACTGGTGACCATAGAAAGAGGTTGGTCTCTCACTCACTTGATTACCTTTGAACAATGACTTTTAAATTTTGCATAAATAATTATCTTTTTTCAAATTTACGTTTTTCAGAGTGAACGACATAATATTTAATTTAAAACTTATATTTAATGCAGAAAGCTTAGTCCGCTTATAGTAAAACTCTTTTTAAAATACTTAGGTGTGTGTGAAGAGTATCTTTTCATCATGGGTTAATGGGTCTATTTTTATGTTCTCTTCCCTTGTATTTTTAGTCTGTGGTGGGGGGATCATGAGTAAACTATTTTTTTTCATTGTAGGCTCTGAAGTATCTGCCAATTGGCATGTTGCTGAACAACCTCTGGAGCCAATAGATGTGGTTGCCATGACACCAGGCAAACAACCGGAGTCTCAGGATTCTCTCACACTTAATCAGATTGAAGAGGTAGGTACACATTATTTACCCAACATTTTATGAAAATATAGGTTTCTTCAAAGCAAGTTGCAGTGACTTGACTATCTCATGGCTCATTGTATTCTTTTTTTTTCTGTTTCCCCATCCCAGACAACCGATAACATCAAGAATGTCGTGTCCCAGCTTTATCAGAGGATGGAGCAGATGGAGACAGCCCTTCATTCCATGGCGGCCAGGACCCCGCCAGCCAACAGAGAGCAGGACGACAAGGAAAATGATTTCTACATCACAAAACCCCAGTGGGATAGCGTCATGGCCAGATTGATCTTGTTGGAGAATAGGGTCATGATGCTTGAGGTAGTGGAATTTTTATTACAGCAGAATCAATGGGGCTCTTAACCTAAAAAAGAAGCTCAAAAAAAAAAGCATGGAAAAGAGAGAAATTGCACCTTTTTTAAACTAAATAAGCCCTTATGTATCAGGATAACCTGGATACGTGCTTGATTTTATATTTCTGCTGCATAAATGCACTGTTTACAATTACTTGTCACACCCCAAAAAATTATATAACTATTTTAATGGAAAATTTAACTTTTTAATGGAAAATTCTTGGAAAAGTTGACACGACTTTCTCAGTGTTATGGACTGTAAGTAAATTGTCTTTTTTAGAATGATGGATCCAAAAAACAGTCAAATAAGAAGTCAGAAAAACTTGGAAAAGGTAAGTAATATGTAAAGGAGACTTCTTCATAAAACACAAGATATTGAATGAATGAGCTAGATTCAGATTATATAAATTTATCAAAATAATTTTGTATTTGAGTTTAAAGGTAACTACACACTGGGATGTTAAGTTTGATGTG